TGCAGATAGAAGAGGATCAGACCAAGGATTCACGCCGCCAAGAAATACCCCATCACCAATAGCCACCTATACCTTCGAGTTGCTAAAGTCTCCATCCCACTTGTTCACATGTCGTGCTCAAATACTAAAACAGTACGAAAACTAGAAGAACGCATGAATGCTGCCAATGATTCTTGCGTACTTCCATCGGTATTGCATGAGGAATTTCGCTTTGGTTCACCGAGTCAAGCAATAGATCATCAGAAGATTCAGCAAATGCTAATCTTATGAGCCCTGGTCGAGTCTGGCTTGCAGAGAAGTATAGAGGGAAGTATCTGTAGAGCTCCCTAACGTAGCCCCGCCTCGGAGGAGATTCTGCTGAAGGTTTCGTGCAAGGCTTCAAGTCATCGATTGCTGCAATGTGAATTGAGGGCCGAGGAGAGGGAATTTTTGAATTATGAGATCTGCAGCCTTTGGACGTCAGCAATGTTTTGAAGATCTGCAAAAACGGTACGAAGGTGGCATAATAGGCTCATGGTGGTAAAATTTGGATCCCAGCCCTCGGCAGTTGGCCACGCCCATGCTTGATCTCCTTCGACTTGGCCATCTCTCCGGCTCGGCATTTCTTCGACTCGTACCCAAGTAGGATAAAAGAAAACAAAAGGGGTAGCGAATGAGGGGTAAGGGGCGGGAAGGCGGAAGAACTGTGGGCCGTCGATCCATGGTAGCAATTTCGCTAATGCAGCCTCCCGAAACGCGCTTGACTGCATATGGAAATTCTCGACGACGTCCCTCCTTCCCATTCCTTTACTAACATTTGTGCATGTTTCTGGAGTAAGAAAGGTCGCAGAAACAGTGTTGTGAGTGCACATTGTCTTGCGACTTGAAATTTAGATGATTTCATCGCTGGTTGTTGGCGGCTAGAGCGCTTAGGACAAGGTCCAGGCGCGTCACGTGCCCTCCAATGGTGGGCAGCATGCAATGTGGTATATGGCCTCGCACGGTATGAGGCTTTGGCTGCTCTCTTGCTGATCCTCTTTAATTGGGATCCTTTCCGTATGGTCATTCTTGTGGTAAGTTTCAGCTGCAGCACTACCCCAGTGGGGAGTGTGCCATGCCACAGAGCGTACTGCTGCCACAATTCCATCCACGATGGCCCTCCCAAGTAGGTCCGAGCAGTACACGGATACGCCGTGATGAGTGCCACTTTCCATCAATATATCAAGGTCTAGCTATGTATGGGGCGTCTTCTCAGTGTTTCTGGGACTAACATTGGGTCTGTATACTGGGCAATTGCGCGGTCGCAGACGCATATCACGACAAGAATTCCACACTTCACTCGCGAATTGCGTTGCTCAGAACTTTGATCATTGATATAGTCAAGGCTTTTCTATTACTTCTACTGTCAAGGTCCAGCTACATATGGGACGTATGCTCAGCATTGCTGGGGCTCACATTGGGGTCCGTATGCTGGGCAATCGTGCGGTCGCAGACACACATCACCATGGGAAATCTACACTTCACTCACGTATTGCGTTGCTCAGAACTTTGGTCATTGTCATAGTCAAGCATTTATATTACATCTAAGGCTACATGAAGTCCTGCGCCCATGCCGTTATCCCATAATCATAAATCCCCAGATGTAGGTGTAGGAGGAAAGGTCCCAGATCGTTGGACCCAGCACAGAATTAGCGTCGAATGCTCGGCAATCACTGAGCAGACAAGCTTTCATGCTGCCCTCGCTGGGTGTTCTGGCCTTCGCTTCTCAGTTTTAGTGAGTGATCTGGTTGTTAGCGCCCTACGGTCGCAGCATTATATATAGAGGCCCTTCCCCCCAGAATTCTCAATTTTCTTCTCTCTCAATCATCGCGCTCCACCACCGCAACACAGCACAGCACAGCACATCACATCGCATCACATCACATCATCACACCTCACCACACCTCACCACACCTCAACACACCTCACCTCACCACACCTCACCGCACCACACCGCACCTCACTTCACATCAGTAAGACTCCTCTCAATGCTCCACTATCCAAGAGCAATGCTAATACTCGAATAGTACCTCGAGAGTACAAGCAGCCAACCTGCGAGTCGGTCTCCTCCTCCGCCCCCCCCCCCCCCCCCCGCACCTCCCAAAGGCCCGCCCAGACTCCGCCCACCCTTCCCGCCCAGGTGCTCCCGCCGCCCAAGGCCCCCGCTCAGAAGAAGGCCCCCCGCCCCCCCCATCCCTGCCGGCACCAAGGTAAGCACAACATCCTCGAACTGTTTGGTTCCTGCCTGCTTCTCAGACTCGATTGGGTGTGTCAGTCACAGTGACACTCAACTTGTTCTGAAGTTCTCAGGCATGCAAGACTCCTGAAGGTCACTTTGGGATTGAACCCGCCTACTTTGGTTGGGGGGAGTCTTCCTTGAGAGTTGACGGACAAGTTGTTCGAGTCTGACGCAAAAGTTGGATCAAGAATCTTGACCTTGGACTGTAGTGGTCCGAGGGCTGGGTGGACCCAGGAGGCTGTGATACCTTCTGGGGAGTCTTTACGGTCTTTTTCCGCGACTTGCCGCGTACCAGTACGAATCAGGCCGGGTGACTGTGAGCTAAGTTCATGGCCGGCACTCGTGAGCTTAGGATTCTGAGATTCAAGTGAAGGCTTTTGCGAGATGCAGAGTCAGGACAACACACCATCAGTAGTGCTTACACAGTTGGTCCAACCCCAACTGACGAGTGCCTTCCAGTTACATCATATGACGCTTCGGACCACGACTACCGTGGCAGAGAAGACCCTCGACAAGCTCGATCAATTGGTCGAGATACTCCGCCCAAAGGCCACCAAGGCCAAGAAGACCCTCCCCGCCCCCGCCCCAATGCTCCCGCCCAAGAACGACCCCAACCATCCCATGCAAGTCACCGCATATCATCCAAAATACTTCGACTGCAATGAAACCAAGGTAAGTGAATTCCAATTCCAATCTCTGAAAATTTGTCGAGCTAACTAAGAAAAATAGATCCTCAATATTACGGATCGTTTTTTCGACAAGTTGTACAAACTTGTCATTTTGGTCTTTCTTTGTGTTACCTTTTCAATTTTTTGGTTTTTTTTCTGTAAAAAGCTTTTTTCTGTAGACCTGGGCGGTGCCTGGGTGCTCCCTGGGGAGGAGCAGTTGGCGTCTGCGGGCTGGCGCCGCTTTTCTTTTGGCTTGTTTTAATTTTGTAATTGTATGGCGTCTCCGGCCTACGGGAGGGGCGGGTGGGACAGTGGTGGAGGAGGTGGCCTTTTTTTTTGTACTTCATAGGTTTTGTATGGCGTCTCCGGCCGGCGGGAGGGGAGGGTGGGTGGGCTTTTTTTAATAAAAAAAAAAGAACGGATTGTTTTGTACCAATGGAATTTTTTGTCTCGGACCTCGATAATTTGAAAACTCTTGCCTGTGATCTGTCTTTTCTCCTATAAATCCTTGAGTGATGACTTTACAGAATAACTGACTTCGAGAATTTGAGGTCGCTAGAACTTTACAGTCCGGAAACTCTAAAGGCTGCCACTGAAATAGAAATCTAATATCCCAGAATGACTCTTTAGCTGCAACAGGTCGAGTTCCAGAGGTCTTGAAAGAGTAGCAAAGGGGTTTTAGAAGGCTTCTTTATGCACTTAGACATCGAGTGTTAAGGGTGACTATATTGGTAATCATGGATGGAAAGGATGTCAAAGTTGTTCAGCACTCTCATTGAATCATCAAAATTAACATAAACTACTTTAATAAACTTCGCTGTAGGCCTTTTCCAGATCAGATATCAGAAAAGCAACTAAATTAACTCTCGGAGCCCTCAAATATTCCCCCAAAACAGTTCAGCCACCTAGACCACACACGAACTTGCACTGTTCATGTCCAGCTACCCCGCCTCTGCCAACTCAATGAGGTCATACTGGCTGCCTGGTCCTTCAGTGGGAAAGGTCCCGGGTGTTTTGAATCCGCGAGAACTGGCGTTTGGGCGTGTTTAGTTCTTCTGCCAGCTCATCAGTTGAATGTGCAAGGAGTAGGATCAGCGGAAGGGCTCATTTGCTTTGAAGGCAAGCCATCCCAGAGATACCACCACGTGGGTGTAGAGTAGACTACCTTTGTGCGACGTCCTTCCTTTAAGCTGGCAGAGTATTTGAACCTCTAACCTGGTGCGCGATCATGAGAAGTGTATTGAATCCTTAGGCTCTATTATTCGGGTATGGAGCATTCCAGAAACTTTCGTATCGGTACCTTCCTAAGTTCTCCACCTGAGATCACTGGCTGCTTCACGGCGCCCAGAATTGGTATGGGAGACGACTCGAGCAGTTGTGTCCTCTGCAGCCATGGAAGGCCAGTGTCTGACCCTCTGATCCTTTTGATTGCTGGTTGGTGGGCTCGAAAAGAGAACGTTCGTTGGATGAGGGATGATTAACGCTCTGAAGAGGCGAATAGAAGTCGTGAGAGAAGGAGGGGATAGGTTCGTAGACGGTGACTACACCAAGTGCTGAAAGCTGGTAAAGATTTTGGTGAGCTGCAGTGAAGTGTGTCTGTTCCTCTCAGCAAATTGATCGCTAGATGAATTTGGGGCCTCACCTCACCTGCAAGACGCTACGAGGGTCTGCATCAGCAACGTATAGAGACAAGTTTGGCCATTGTGTGCGGACTGGGCTGCGAGGGAGAAATTCCATGCATCTTGCATACCTTTCACGACTTGGCAACTGGCTTGCAGCATTAAATCGAGGGGAAAATGCAAAGCTTCTTGGACGCTATGCACGGCAGTCTATCTGTTCCCATAATTCTTAGAAAGAACAGCTCATTTGCGGTGTTCAAGGATCAAATGGGAAAGACTCGGGAAGCTGACTTCCTTTCTCTCTCCTTCCAATCCAGGAAACCACAGATCGCTAATTACAGTAATTTCCTCATTTCCTTTTCTCTCGCCTCATGCAAACTCTCAAAAATAATTTGGAAATGTCCAACGAATCATTATTTCCGAAGAAACAAGTACCAAAAACATTGAAGATTGCCCTGGACAGCGATGGATTCGAACCACCGTCTTACCCTCACTGGGGGATTCGACCATTAGGGGACGTCTCCCCATACGGTCGAATCCGCTCAAAAAGCGGGTATATGCTAAACCACTACACTAGCCGCCCTTTGAGAGTCTGTTACAGAATATGTCCTTAACCAACGTTATTACACCCACGGTGCTGAGGAGCACCCCCCGCAACGGTCCGCTCCGCCGCCAGATGACTCAATCCACCAAGCAGCCTCAGCAGCATTGATCAGAAATGTGGAGCAGTTACAGTCAGAGAGATTTGGACCTTGTGCAAGGCTATGATTCGTGCTGTAGGACCTTTCTTACCTGCTCGGTGTTGGCGCATAACAGCGGGCCACCTACTTCCAGAGCCATATTCCCCCCAGCTTCTTCTTCCTTTCTTCTCATCCAAATTCACAACCCACAACCTCAATCATCAACCATCATCTACCACATCCACTTCCATCACTGACAGCCATTCGAAAACTCTTCGCCATCGTACCTGTCAATCTTCCACTTCTTTGTGACCATCTCTTCGCCGGTGAGCTTTCTCTCTCGAACAGCATCTTTCTGTTACTGACTCTCGCGGACGACAGCGTACATCGAAATAATCCTAGAACGAATACTGAGACGCATTCGCAGTGCAACTGCCAAACAAGACGCAAGAAATCCCATACAACTGGTCTTCTACTCTGCCTGGATCGCTGGTTAAGTTCTGTCACTCCCAGTGAGGCCTACTTATTGCCCGCCGTGCTCGAGGTTTCAGGTATATAGGGCTTCTGGAGAGGATCGCTTCATGATGGGACCAGCCACTGCAGTTTGGAGTTGTCTTCCTATACAAGTCGAGCTCTTGTTGTCCAGCCCATTTCAAGGCTGGATCCTTCTCTTGCTCGGACCGTGGTGGTTTTGGATGGGGAACATGTTCATATGATTTTGAAGTGCTTCGAAAATGCCACCTGGCCAGTTTGTGCTTCGTACAGTGAATCATATTACACTTGCTGCGCTGGTGCCTCGGGCTGGCAGATTTGTGTTGGCCGTAGTTGAATGCATTTGGCAAAATGCGGAGTTGACCGTCAGTGTCTTACACCCCCTTCTACTAACAAATATCTAGTTCACGAAGCCAAGTCTCTGACAGAATCTGTATAGCAGAAAATTCCCCCAGCATCATCCCAAGTTTGAACTGACAGGAAATCGATGTTAAGACTAGACTGCTAGTAACTGGAAGGCAGGTGTACTTTGGAAGCTCTTTGAGTCCTTCTTGTATCATAGGCCGTTAATGCGAAGAGCTCAATCATGCTGACTTTCATCACAGTCTGACTCGTTACATTTCAAGGTGCTGAACTTCTTCTCTTTTCGAATCTTTCGAATACTATGCCGTCAAAAACTTCCTTTCCACTGGAAAGATTTCCAATGTCAATGCAGCAAAAGCAACTGTGCTTTACACATGGGGGTACCAAAGCGAGCATTATCGATAACCTGCGCTAGCCTGCAATCACAAGCTGCTGCCGCCCAGCGTTCACCCTTATGCAGCATTGGACGCCAAGCTTCCTCCTCTCCATCCATGGTCGCCCGAGGAGCTCGATGCAAATCTGCCAAATCGAGAATACGACTTAGGACCGGAACTCCCTTGAGGTCTGCACAAAGAGCGCCCGTCGGCAAAACAGTCTCTTCTGAAATTTCAATGGGCCTCGATGTCTCCCACTTTTCTTCGCTGACGTGTCTCCAGAATCCCTGGGTGCTCTAAATACTACCTCGCAATGTATGCCACGTGTTTTTTATTATATCTTCAAGAGTGAAAGCCGTTGGCAGAGGAAAGTCTCGATTTCGATCCTCGAGATACAAGGTGGTTAAATTGTAGCAGAATAACTTTAGGCTCAATACTTTCAGCACAGACGCGACCTGTCGAAGTGGAAGATTCACCCACTCCTGCTATCAATACAATTCCCAGTTCGTTCAGGACGCTGTGCCCGTTGGTTGGCCCCTCGAAACACGAGAACTGCATAGCACATCCTGCCAACCTGCTCAACCCTCTCTATCTGTTCCGATTCCGAACACCGAGAGAAGGATTGAACTCGAATCCTGGAACGCCGCTTGAGCCTTCGATGGAAACCACCCCAACCTAGTATATACCACTAAGTGCCAGGCACGCCTCGTCAAGCCTCTCTTCAGTCAATGGACTTGGTGGGATAAATCTGGACTGGTGTACATCCGGCATGCAAAAACAGGTTCTCTAAACAGTCTCTCTGGCTCTCAGAAAAACGCGAATACTCCGATAACTCCGTGACAGAATGGGACAAATGTTCTCAATCCATAATTTAATCACCAAAAAGGTATATTACATCCATAGCTGCTCCATTGGCCGTGAAGATTCTTCCCTCCGCCTGTAACTTTCGTCGCAGCTCGCTCTCATTTCCCCTTGTCATGAATTATTCTTTCGTAGAACCGTGATTAAGAGTCTTACGATCTTTGAACGAAGATGCATTTCGAATTTGTGAAATGACCCGAATCTCTTCTCCCGACGGCATTCAAGTTCCTCTTTTTGCTGGGCAGAGCCTAGACTGCACAGCTATGAATCGCTGGCAAACCAGGGCACGACTAATGGAAATCCAGGCGAGGCTTAGGCTGGTCGAATATTGGAGAACGAGCCAAATTTATGTTATACTGCAAATCCGGAGAAAAGATTTTGGTACACTCCCCTGAACCGGGGTGGTCGGTGTTGTACGGATGCGGAAGGAGACCTCCTCGCTTGGTACACATATCATGTTGAATAAGCAGAAACTTGGCAAGAACTTCTTTGTGGTCAAGCTGCCTATCTTCATAACTCGCTTTCGGACTTCAATTCAGACTTCACTAACATCTAAATAGTCCAAGATCCCGTCACAATCTTGGTTTGGCACCTATCTGAAGTGTCTCTTGTACTAGAGCTTCCTTACTTCTTATAGGAAAAATCCGCCCCGGTTGCGTTTGCGCCTCCCACTTTCCTCATAACCCGCCCAGGCCTGTAAGTATTCTGAACCTCATTTCTATAGGCAGCTTGACCGCATCTATGAAGTAATTTTTTTTTTGCTGCACTTTTAGTGATCGCTCCTTTCTGCCCTTCCCAACTTTAAGAGCCATTTTAAGTGCTTCAATCACCAAAATTTTCTGAGGATTCGAAGTCAAGGAGTTGAAGCCGAGAAGAAACATGTCCAAGACAGCCAACGTTCGTTCTTTCTTTTCTTCGTTAACTCAAACTTCTATAAAACAATCAATTTTACCACAATTCATCCTCTCTACGAGACAGACCTTCAGGAATTTCCTTCACTTCCGACGTGTCATCTTTGGTGAGCCCTATTTATTCGACCAAACTTTCAGAGAAGAACTGGAGAACGAAAAAAAACTACAAACAGAGTAAAGAAGCACTTGCGCCTTCGCATTGGCGACTGAAGAAGTATGCTCGTATGATACACTTTCACAGAGGAATTAGCAGGTTAAAAAGGATACTTCTGTATCATATTAACACTGGTGAAACTGACTTAAAATCCCGTGATGTTGAGAAAGACCCTGATTCTCCACCAACTCCACCCTCCCGTTATGGCCAACTTCGCCGTCACCAGAATTTCTTCAGAAAACAAAAAAAGATCTCCCCCAAAACCCCGACCGCCCCTACCCCCACCCGCCTCTTCCTAAGCTACTTTCTTAAAAAAGAAGCAATGTATTAAACCACAAAAGAAAATAAAAGCCCAAGAAAGCCCCGTGTAGTACGGAGCACGGCCGTAAATACCAACGTACTAAAGGAGATTATTAGTATATTGCACATTTCCAAGGTTCAGAGAAGGAACAAAATGAGAAGACTACTTACATCCCAATTGTCCAAAGGTCCTCGGGTTCGCTAGATAGAGGAAGCCGTGTGGGCCAATGCAGAAGCGGTGAGAACATTGGACTTACAGCCCGTACTGGCACAAGTTGAGTCTTTTCTGCTGACTCCTTCCGAACAAGGGTCCCTCCTCTCAGTTCACTGGTATCATTTTTTTATCATTTTTTCTTCTAAAATGTGTCAGTAAGGGTTGGTACATTGAAATGACAAATGAGACTCACTGGTGCGCCCGGGGGGCCTCCAAATAGCACCACTCTCCTTGATTTTTTCCGAGTATTGGGAATTCTTAAAAGGGCTAGCTTGTGGCAAAAATTGTACGAGGTTGTGTTTGTGTGCGGATGAGCAAGATGAATGAGAGTTGAAACTTACTGACGGCATCTAGAGTAATGTTAGCTTGTGTCTGCAACCAGCAAGGAAGATTGGAGCTGCAGGCTTACTGGTGCTACTGCTGCTGTTGTTGAGGTTGTGGAGACTGATGTTGTCAGCAAATGAAACACGACATGAAAATGGGTGGGTGTTGTGTAGAGCGATACGTACGAGGTGTGAAGTGTGGGTCTGGAGAAAGGACAAAAGTTGATGAAAAGCAGCCTCGACGACCTTTACACAGAGAGTAAATACCACCCAGATTCTTGGACAGGTGGTGCTCGTGGTGGTGTGAGCTGAAATTCTCTGAAAAGAAGTTTTGTTGTCTTGGAGAAAGTCGATGGAACGAAATCAAGGCAGGATCGAATGAAAATGGTGAATGGCACCTCGTGGCTACCCCCCGCGAATTTTGAGGGGTATCTGATTGCATCTCGAGTGAATGCCAAATTTCGCTTTTGGCATAAGCATCAGTATCACCAATCGCATGCTCTAAAGATGAAATCAGATCTCTCGCGGCATATTCATTTCATGATTTTCATCCTGTCTCTGTGCCATCTCGACTGCCAAGCAGCACGTACGAGCGTGCCCAGCTATCTGCATCGTCCAACGCGCCATCATCCTCAAAGATTATCCATTGCTTCAGTTCTGGCTTGCAAGTTCTTTCTCCTCACCCCGCTGCTGATGACAGTTACTGACGTTTTCCGCTAGATAGACCGCTGCGAACCCAATTGTACGTCGTGGAGTCCTCGTTGATCGAGTGCTTGCTTTAGTATCAACATCTCTCCTCGATTGTTCGTCTTTTTGCGGTACAACGAGCTAACAGGATTTGGAGAATAGACAAATAAGACAAGCTTGGATCTTTTCAGAGAATACCGCCCCTATCGACTTTACACCCGCAA